CTCTCTCTCTCTCTCTCTCTCTCTCTCTCTCTCTCTCTCTCTCTCTCTCTCTTTCTTCTTTCCTCCACCTGCATGAAAACGTCGCGCGATAACTCGTACGATGTTGTCATTCAAGAGGAAATGGAGTTCCAAGATTTATTCGTGATATCCCGGCGAGTCGATAAGCTTTATTATTTGTGCGCGCTGTACCGAGATCAACGGTGGAGTATGATAAACATTTTCGTTGCCGCGCTCAAAGCAGATTACTTCCGCGATATTTCTCGGTCGGCCTGCATCCCCGGGACTCCACTGTGCGATCAAAGGCGCTCTCCTATCGAAAAGTCACGCGCATCACGCATTGCGATAAAGCAGACTCGACGTCGCTTATTTCGTTTTGCAGGGATCGCGGAAAAAAAATGAACGTGCATTATTTCCGAGTCGTTCCCAAAATCAATGATCGCCTCCAGCTGCACTGTTGGACCATACAACTCGACGCAATTGCATCGAAACAGCGCTATAAACGATGCGCGATTCTTAAATCCGCCGTAGGAGATTTATGAATCGCGTCACAATTCAAATCCTGCTTACGGTTTTATAGGAGGCGTGCTATAAAAAAAAGCATCTTACAAGTCGAAATACGCATGTATAAAACATCTATCAAAATGCATGGTGTATGAAATAATAATATTCTATTCTGAGATCCGACGCGGAATATAGATCGTCCAAAGCAGGGTTTGTTTCCGGAAGTCGAAGAAATTCTGAAGTATTTAATGCATTATTGAAAGCGTATTCGCGGCACTATTTCGTTATTTTCATGAAAAAAGTCTGAAGTCTCGACTATCTCGCATTAGAATCCTATCTCATAATAGAGGACTTTCCTCTACGTGTAAAAACTTTCTCGACTCGCAGTCTGATCTCGGTGGAACAAGCTGGATCCTACGTAATTGTGCATAATTATTAAGTAAAATAATTAAACACAGCTGAAATCATATCATACACTATACTAAATATGTTAAAATGAAATATTATATTTTCTAGCCAACCGATAAAGAACGGGAAAATTACAAAGAGCCGAATGTTACGTGTTGATTACGCTATGCTCGGTGTAGCGTTTCACGTACGTCACTCTTTATTAATCTTTTTGCATTCTCTTTGGATTTTATTCGTGCGATACGGCGAGCAACGTTAACGCCGGAGCGAAAGGCAAACCCGGGGAGCGCAGGGCAAGCAGGCCCTTTTTTTTAAAGGGGGCTACGCGAATCTTACGCTCTCGTGAACTTTAGACCAATTTTAGCGATGAAAAGTGTCGGAAAAATCGAGTCCTTTATCACGTTAACCCGTTCGCCATAAACAACAAGGCTACAGAATCTTCGATAGGTGGATTCTAATTTTTGCCGCACCAGTTGTGCGAAAATTTATTTATTCGTGTGTGTGTGTGTGTGTGTGTGTGTATATTTGTATGTCGGCAGACGCGCATTTTGCCGTCATAACCTAAAAAGCAGTAGTTCTATTTTTTTGGCCATTGTAGTTCACTCGCTTTCTATGTTTCTTAGAGAAATATGCGTATAACAGGTGGATATACTGCAACGTGTATAAGTTATTTTATGTTAATCTAGTACTCTTAGGCCGGTATTCCTAGTCGATTCTTATTTCAAAATCATCTTAAGTGTTGTCTTAAGAGGCTAATACGACTCTGTGATTAGTTAAAAACACATTAAGAGTATACTTAAGATGATCTTAAATATAAGAACGGACTATGGAGACCTGCCTTACTGCCTTCTAGCCTTGTAGGACAACAGGATATTTCACTAAGAAACCTAGAAAGTGAGTTAACTACAATGGCCAAAAACTGGAGATGCTGGGTGCTTTCCAACAACGGAACACTGTGTCGTCACTGTGTAACACAGTGTTACACAGTGTCGACTTGCAGCTGGAACGCTGTTTAGCTTTTTTGTGTTACCGCCAGGGTGCAGAGTAATTCTTTCACGTAACTTATCATTAGGGCTGTATTCAGAATTGCGACGAGTGCGATAATCTATTTAACCATTTTATTAAAGGACAGGAATTAAAAATTAGACGTGTTGTACTCTCCACGTCCCAAACGGCACTGGAACCAGGAGCCACCAAGGAAGAAGAAGAAGAAGCGAGCAACATGTGCTCATTCAACGGCGGGGAGTTTTTCACGATTGTCACCATCTATAGGAAAATAAGTGGTAGCAAATATAAGAATGTTGGCATTGTGGAGAGACGACACAGCGTCCAACTCAGCTTTTTAGCTGTGTACGATTGTGTTGACTTGTGTCGTAGTTGGAAAGCACCGGATCGCACACTGTGTTACACAGGGGTCGCTTGTGTACATTGCTGGAAAGCACCCATTATGTCTATGCCTGTCGCACCGTCACACCGATTTCACACTACAACATCCGTCTCATTGGCTCCACCAAAATAATGGTGGATGCGCAGAAAGGATCGACGCAGAAACAAACCAAATGACGGAGTGGGCATACTAGTTGTACTATGGTGTGGCGTTAGCTTCAGCCGCGCGTTTCGAGTGTGCCCGCGTTATCCGCGGCTCCTATAAAATTCGCCAGAGCACATTTTAACATTTGTTACACGTTCGCCGTTATATTAAATAAAAAGCACAAATTAACACATATCCGCGCGAAAGGGCTCTCTCGCTCGCGGATATAAATCCCTCTGTGAGGTGAAATTGCGGGAAATCAAATAGTGCGCGAAAAGGCGAACGAATATATGCATACACGTATATACATATGTGCAATAAAGTTGTAACTGGGACGTGAGCGGAGCAGACCCTCGCGGTCGCTCGCCGAGGACGCCTTAAAATATGCTTCTGTCGCTCGATGAGAATCCTCGAAATATACTATCCACCGCCCTCCGGCGAAGATCCTTAAAATATATACGCCGGCGATTTTCAGGACGTCGCCGCACGCTGCAACGCGGACCGCGCCAAAGCCAAAGGGGTTGGCTATTCCGGGCGCCCCTGTAAGCTAGTCATGCAATTAAAATCCGTTCATCCGGCAAAAATGCTGAGAAGGGTTAATGAGCGCGCGCGCGCGCGCGCGCGCGTATCCCGTGCGCGACCGCGCTTGCGAGCGTAATTCCAGCAACCGTGCGCGATTACCCACGGTGTTTATCCCGCGGGGCAAACGAAGGGAGGTCGTCCTACTCTCCGGGAGCGGCGAGCGAGAGGAAGAAGAGCTTTTCGCGTCGCGCTGAGCCGAGCCGAGACCGAGCCGAGGCCGTTGGAGCGCGAACGGAAGTGGTTATCGATGCGCACCGGAAGCTCGCCGTTGTTGTTGTTGTGAAAGAGAGCCCTCTCTTCGGGGCACCCCCCGCGCGCGAGGGTCGAGCGGTGACCAGCGGCGAGAGAAAAAGACGAGGACGCGGATGAGGAAGAGCGGGAAGAACAGGTCGGGCGTGAGGACGGACTGGCGGAGGGGGACGGCGGAAGGTTGCCGCGAGGGCGCCGGGGGAGTTAAAGGGTGGCCGTCGCGAAGGATGGTCCGAGGGCGACGGAGGGCGGAAGATAAAAGGATAGGAAGAAGAGGCGACCAACGCGGACCAGTCCCGACGAGGGTGGGACGCATACGGTAGATCGCGAGCGAGGGGGGTTAGCGGTGTGGCACCACGACGCCGACGTCGAGTTGGGGTGGACGTACCGCAGGAGAGGGGCGCCATTATATTTGCGCAGGGCCGTCCAATAGGGCGCAGTATCGTCCCGACCGCCGTCGCGTGCATACGTCGTACTTACCCGTGTCTGGACTTGTGAAACGCGCGTAGAACCACCGTCGCCGCCGCCGTCGCCGCCGTCGTCGCTGTCGCCGTCGTCGCCGTCGCCGTCGCCACCTCCCCCTCCCCGAGCGTCCACGTCCGGTGTCCCGGCGAGGGTGAGATCCACGCGAGAGACGCGTACTCGTCCTCTCTCTCTCTCTCTCTCTCTCTCTCTCTCTCTCTTCTCTCTCTCTCTCTCTCTCTCTCTTTCCCACCGTCGTCCTCTCCCTCGCGTACGCCGTCTCCGTCTGTCTCCGTCTTCCCTCCCGTCTGTCCGTACCTCTCGATCCGTAATCTCTTCGCGCGCCGTACGTTCCGCATCGTCCTACCCCCTCGCCGCGTCGTCGCAACTTTTACTCGCCCGCACGCAGTATAAACAACAACGGGGAGCGCGAGAGTCCGCCCACGCACGAGGGTAGCAAGTGGAAAGTGTTGCGCTGCGACAAAAGTGAGTAGACAAAGTGGCTGCGCTTTAATGGGCAGGGGAAAAGGTGGAATTCTCTCCTGCTTGCTGCACGCTGGAATGGGGATCTAAAATCATTCCCCCTCCCCCCCCCCGTCCTCTTCTTACCCGAGATTGTCCCTCGTTTGGGCCCCCTTCGCTCCGTTTCTCATATACGTGGGGGCTCTGAGTGTTTCACTTTCACGCAACGCGATACCTCTATCGTAGGGTTTCGCCGACGGGGGCAGAGGCTCCGATTAATTGAGAATTGCTCCGATTAATCGCATTCCTTTCTACGCGGAGGCACGCGAACGACTCGGCAATATCGGAGGCGGAGATTTAAACGCGACACAGTGCGCGCTCAGCGATCTCCGTGAAAATTAAGTGCAGGGATTTGAAGGGCGCGCGCGCGCGAGAGAGAGAGAGAGAAATTTATAACAATTTAGGGTCTCGATGCGGAAAAAGTGTCCCTCACGAAAGTGCAACGTTCCCCGGCACTGAGAAGACCGGTAAATTTCCGACAAAGTTTCGCGTCTCGATGTCGTACACGGGACGAAGAAATAATTACGTTTGCGGCACGGCCGGCGTACGTACCTTCGCGGCGTCGAAGATTCAGAGTCGAGCGGAAATCGCGCGATCCCGCTTCAGATCGATCCCCGATTCGAGCCGACTGATTTTTCGCCACTTGCCGCGCGACCCATTATCGTAGGGGCACGTTCGATCGCGCGACTACGCAATTTGTTCTCCGCTGCTCTCAAACGCGCGGGGGGTGAGGGGTGGAGAGGGATTTCGCGGAGGAATTTGTAATTCGTCGCAACCTTTTAATTAACGACCCGATGCCCGGAGGAGGGGGAGGGGGTGACCGAGGCTCACGTCGAGTCGAGGCGGAACGCGGGCGAAACTGACTTGAGAAATTGGGAAACGTCGCCTCCTTACGTTTTGGAAACTTAATTCGCCGGAGCCCTTCAATTCGCGACCTCGCCAGGCATCTCTGTAATTAAGCCCCCCGTCGAATGTTCGCCGTAGGAATATAGGTTCCGTATTCCCCGAGGTGGCTGTCGCGCCCGGAGTGCCGATACGTTCCGTATATTGAAACTAACCGGCGATGAACTTGAAATTACTTCTGGACGAATCGCGGGCGTCCGCTCTTTTCGATGGACCAACGAGGCGGAGGGGCATCCCTGATTTTTAATAACTTCTGCGTACACGAGAGGAACCGTGCGCGAAGTTCGCTTTATAATTTTCTTACTTCGTTACTTCGTTATCCCTTAGTGTTATCGATCCGTACCTCGCGTATGCATTTAGCAATAATTGAGCGTCTTATTTCTAGACTTTGATGTGCTCGCTGTTCTTTTTAACAAAGTTAGAATCGTGCCAGGAAAATGCCGTGTAGTGTTAAACCTCGTATGTAGCTTCCCAAGCGGCAGAGTCACGTAAACGACGACGTGGCGACGCATGTTGGACGTCGGGAAACGTCACTTTGTCGTCCGCGGGCGTAACTCTGCTACCCGGGCAGGAACACGGTCCGTCTAATGAGATTTTTTAAGACGTAAGATTTAAGAAAGCGACCTGTCGCGGAGAATAATCGACCTCACATTCAACGTAAGTCTTACGTCTTAAAGATGTCATTGTAGACGCCGCACAATGTGACTTCTAATCCGACTGGGAGCCGACTCGCTGGATATTGTAATTTTTGTATTTATCGCGGCAATCTTGGTCCTACGCTAATCGTTCGTACGAATCGAGTCGCTGGAGTAATTTACATTTTTTCAGGCGCTGAAACGCGCTCACGTTCGCCTGGTGAACGTCGAAGACGGGAGAGAATTTACCAAAGATGCGTGACGAGCCTTAAGATCCTTTATCGGCGCGTGACTGTAATTCGAGTTAACATTTTCGCGTTGCGTGAAAGTTGTTGGATTAGAGAAAGTATATTTCAGTGAACCTTTTGAGGAAACGTATAACGCGAGGTAGGTAACAAGTGTGTGTGAGTGTGTGAGTGTGTGTGTGTGTGTTTCCATTCCTAGCGTGGCATGAATTCGAAAGACCTTCGTCCAGTATAATGAATTTTTAAGTACCTTGGACCTATTGAAGCTAAAATATAAAGTAGATCCCACTACGCATGTACCGCTAGAGTTCTTTTGAAAATTTCAAGCAGATGCACGGTCTTGTAGATATACGGTAATAGAAATTTTTGCCGTTTCTAGAACTATTTTGTAGTGCCGTTTGTAGAGTCATTCATATTAACAATTTAAATGTTATGCGAAGCATCATTTCTTATGCTTACAATGCGGTTTAAATAAGTAGACGCCTGCGGGCCTTATCCACCCTTGCAGAAATGTAATATTAAGAACCAGAAAAGGATTGAAATAATTAGAAATAATTAGGAGCTCAGTAATTGAATCGTTGGCAATCGCTGTACAGTGATTTTCTAGTAATTATTTCTGGTTTTGATTTCCAGTAGTATATTTCTATAAGTGTATGTTATGTGCGATTTTTTTTTTATTTTCACGGTTCACAGACTTATCTATATGTCTATATATATCTATATGCAATATAAATGTATAACAATAATAATGTAAACACATTCAAGGCTAACTCAATTATGCAGAATAATCAGATCCTATATTTAAATAATAATTTACACAGTAAAAAATCGTGTGTTGAAATGTTAAAATTTTCTTGCGTTACCAAGACTCGATTATTATTTCAATGTAAAATTAACATAAAACAGATATGCTATTATTTTCGCAACATTTTTACGTGCTATATTTATGTTAATATAATAACCTGACACTTCATGTATATCATTTAAAAATTGAATATCACTTTGAGTTCCTTTAACACAATTATTTCACAAAATCAACCAAACCATGTAACATCGACATTTCTTAAAAGTTATCTCAATTATTCTAATTTGTAACTATTCGTACTTATCCTGTCTGTTTTTATTACATCGCACTTGTGGTTAAAAGGACATAAACATAAATGTGAAGTATAGTGTTAATTAATTAACATTTATTATTCGTCAAAAAGCAACACGCGCGATGAATGTTATTTCAACTTTTTAGACTGGACTTTTCGGGACATGTGAAAAATGTTAACATTAACATTTTATTTTTTACTGTGTAGGAGCGATTAGATTTTCTGGAATAATTCACCGTCCTCTTCTCAATTAGATCAATTTTCGCAATTACAGATAGCAAAGTATTAACGATGTCCTTTACTATTTTACACCCTCGCAGTGATAAATTAATTTTGCAACAAAGAAACGAAGAAATGGAAACGGCGACAAAAATACAGGAGCGTTAATAAAAGAACACGACACAGTTGACGCGAGTATTATCAAAACATGCTTCTCTTCGATTATATTTTCTCGCGAGAAAGAAGTAGTCCTTTCTTAACCGGAATAAATTTCTGCCCTCTCGCGCGCTTTTCGCCCCGTCACACATCCCTGATTCATTTTGGTTCAATTATACAAATCATAAAAAAATTAAGGCGCTCTTGTAACGAATTTGCTTCATTTCAGTTCATATTTTTCATGTGTCTGCGCGCACGGGATATTCATGATATTCCCGTAGAATATCACGGAATCCGCCGCGTTGCGCCTCTTGTATTCTAATAAAATTACACTCATTACTTTGTGCCATTGATACAATAGATATCATTACCGCACGTCAGATTTACGACAGGGTTATCCGTAATAACATCTTTCTGCATGTTAAAATACAATGCGAAAAATAATCACATTTATAATCGACGTACACGGTAAAAAATTAAATGTTAATGTTAACATTTTTGACATGTCCCGAAAAGTCCACACTAAATTTTAAGTTAAAATAATATTTGTGGCGCGTGTTACTTTTTGACAAATTATAAATGTTAATTAATTACTCAACACTACACTTTTACATTTATGTTTATGTTCTTTCAACTTTAAGCGTAATGTAATAAAAACAGACGGGATAGGTAAACTGTACGAATAGCTACAAATCAGAATAGTTGAAATAATTTTTAAGAAATGTCGATATTACACGTTTTGTTAAAAGAACTCAAGATAGTATTCAATTTTTAAATAACATACATATAACACATAAAACGAATTTTCGTGTAACGAAAATAACAACAAATACGTTTTATGTTAATTTTACACTGAAGTAAGAATCAAATCTTAGTAACACAGAAAAATTTTTACATTGGAACACACGATTTTTCACTGTGTGCATTTTAAAATACAATGTGAAAAATAATTACGTTTATAATTAACGTAAGTACACGCGGATAAAACGCTGGCTCTGTTATTCAATTATCAACACCGAGTAATCGCACGAAAATATTGTGCCGTGTGCAAAATAATACCTCGGACGTGCGCAAGAATTTCGGCCAACGGGGGACATTCAGCACATTTGCAGTCCAAGATACAGAAATCAAAGCTCGCGGTTAATTTTCATTAAGAGTGTAACTACATAACGAGAATGCCGGTAACAATTTGTGGATGCTTATTTAGGTCAACTTAATGCCGCCTTTCCGACTAATAACGGTCAGTAATATTAATAACGTGTTATGTACTTTCGCGTGTGCGGGCAAATTGTAGCGTTGCCGCACGTCATTATTACATAAAAGCTCTGAGTTACTGCGCGAACTTCTATTTTAGTTAATTAAAAATGAAGCCTTTCTTTCGAGCGCGCACGGCCGCGTTTATCTCGCGGCGCACGCATGCGATCTGGTTAGTAATTCTGATAACATCCGCCGAGGAAAAAGATATGGAGCGATATCACGCGGAATCTTGCCTTTACAACTTATGTATCGCCGATGGAAACGACATCGCTCTCTTTTTTTCTCTCTCTCTTTAATTTCACGCGGAGGAAAGGCACATACATTTTTTAAGTTCGGAGAATTTCGACTCGCGCAACTCACTCGCGTCTGGTAAACGAGAGTTCCATGAGAATTAAAAGAAAATGCGTTATATTACGCGCTATAAATAAATATCAAGGAAATGCAATATCGGA